GAGTGTGTATTCCCATTGAGTCTTGGAAGGGGGGTGGGATACTTTTTTTGATCATATCCTATAGCAAGAAGTACATTTTATATCAAGGCACACACACAAAATTAAAATCAAAGTTTCAAGAAATAGTATTTACTGTCTGTGTTACCTTGGTATTTTCTGTTTGACTGTGTTTTCTTTGTTTCTTTTTTGAAAAATAGGCAAAGGATTTTAATAAACATTTCTCCGTACAAGACATACAAATGACCAATAAGCACAAGACAAGATGCTCAGAAAAATGCAAATCAAAATTACAGCAAGATACCATTTCACACCCACTAGAATGGCTAGAATCCAAAATTCAGATGTTGTTGTTGTGTTGTCAAGTTGGTTCTGACCCATAGCGACCCTGTATCAGTTTCTGAGGAGCAGCTGGTGAGCTTGAACCACCGGCATGCGGCTCAAATCAGCCTTGCAGTCAGATAGTAGCAAGAAAATGTGGCAGAATCAGAATGCGGATACAGTGCTGGTGGAAATGTAAAATAGCGAAACTTTTCCATTTCTTTTGCATCCTTTGAAAAACAACCTGGCAAGTCCTCCAGCGGGTGGACAGAGTTTCCATACGATCTAGCAACACACTCCTAAGTTTACCCAAGAGTACTGTAAATGTTTCCACACAAAAGTTCATGAAAATCCATTACAGCAATACGCATAATAGCCCAAAAGTGGGAGCATCCCAAATATCCATCAATGAAACAAAATGTGGTATATCCACATGGCTTAGTTATCTAGTGCTGTTAACAGAAATACCACAAGTGGGGGTTTTAAATCTGTAATTTTTTAAAAAAATTCTGGTCACAGGCCTTTAAATTGATTTTATGATTCACAAGTAAACCAATCCTGCTGACGGAGCCCCTTTTCCAAATCATTCCACCACCATTTACCTAAACTCAATGCCCATAGTAAAGGCTTCTCTTTGTCACCACCCACCCCAGCCCTGGTCACCACTCATAATCTTGGGGTTATGCATACTGACTCATTTCATTTCATGAGACTATACAATGTTTGTGATTCTTTGGTCGATTTACTTCAGCATACTAGACAAGGTTCATCAATATCATGGCATGCGTCAGGATGTCGCTTCTCTGTTGTCTGTGCAGCCAGTCCTGAAACTCTTGCTTTGAACTCCAGCTCACATGAAGCCTGCCTGTCTACTCACACAGCCGCTCCACTCTTTCTGGATCTTACATTGGAACAACTGCAAAAACCTCAGGGTTGCTTCTGAAACTCAGTACAGTGTTTCTCAATTTATAATCCTGTATCCCAGGGGAATGGGGATTGGAAATTCCATTTAAACATGCTTCCTGGATATTCCAATGCATACAGGTTGGAGAACTAATGCCTGAGACCCTCATCTCTTCGATAGGGCTTGCATTCTTGCTACCAGATGATTGGTGTTTAGTTTTGCAGGGACCAGTTACCGCCCCACCAGGGCCTGGCCATGTCACCCCATCTGGCCAGGCCCTCTTTTTTTCCTCGGATTCCTTGCAGGAATTCACCATTCCAATATGGCAGACCATATCCCTGTGCTCATGGGCATTCCCATTCCTGAGCTTTTCTTCATGCTTATCCACAACCTAGAATTCTCTCCTCCTCTGGCTTCCTGAGCAAACCTTCTCTTCTCCCTACTTCTCCTCAATGCCTGACTTTACCTCTTCCCAACTGGTCTAAGTACTAAAGTATCTCTGAGTTTGAGCTCAATAGCCAATGGGGGGGAAGGAGGGCATCAGTGATTGGCAGAGTACTGATGGAAGGGATGATGCCAAGGAAGCCAAAAACTGGGAGTGTCGCTTCTCTTTTGCGAACTTTGCGCTAAGTCAGCTGCCATGGATTTACACCATTGTTGTTAGGTGCTGTTGAGTTGATTCTGAATCATAGCAACCCTTCGTACAGGAGAACAAAACACTGCCCAGTTCTGTACCATCCTCATCATCATTGCTGTGTTTGAGTCCATTGTTGTAACCACTGTTTCAATCCATCTCGTTGAGGGTCTTCCTCTTTTTCGCTGACCCTCTAATTTACCAAGCATGATGTCCTTCTCTAGGTACCGGCCCCTCCTGATAACACGTCCAACTATGTGAGATGAAGTCTTGTCATTCTCGCTTCTAAGGCGCATTCTGGACGTACGTCTTGCAAAACATTTTTGTCCATTTCCTAATAGTCTATGGTATATTCAGTATTCTTCTCCAACACCATGATTCAAATGTATTAATTACTTTATAGTCTTCTTTATTCATTGTCCAGCTATCACATGCAAATGAATCTAGAGGGCTGGGGAGGAAGGACTTGGCAGAAGGCAAGAGTCCTATGTTATTCCCGGGCCAGGAGAAGCGTCAATGAGGAGAATGAGTGGGTGAGATGGGGGCTAGAGGGAGAGGAATGGAACAGGAGTTGGGCACTTGGGGTGAGTCCAGGGTATGATTGTGGAGGCCTGGAGTGTCTGGAAAGGCATTTAGCTTTTACTGGAACAAACACTTCATGTGGGGCCCATGCAAAACAACAACAACAACTATAAAGACACCAGGAGAGAAGAAGGGTACCACTTGCAGGTTAAACTTTGTTTTCATAAATCCATTAGCCTCTTTTGGGTTCTCCTATTCGTCCTTTTTCTACGCTCTCTCTTTTTTTATGTCAGCTTCTTTTTACCAATATTGATGGTTGTCCTATTTCCCAAACATTTGGGGTTTTCTTCTGAGAGGTGCATGTTCATTGTTTGCTTCCCAATCTCCTTTTCCTTTCACTTTATCTAAGGTGCAAACAAGTCCCAAAGGCCTTCTGCCTCCTTGTCTACTCTGTCCATTGCCTTTGTAAATTTTCATTTTTCCCCTTCTGAAGCCTCTTCTATTTGGAAAGACCCAGGTGTCTGGGATGGTCAGAGGGCTGGTCTGACCTCAGCTTGGCAACTTTCTCCAGGCCTGCAGGCGGTGGTATCCGGTCCCTCTCTCTCCTGCCACGGAAGTTCCTCATTGCCTGGCATTCTCCCCCACCCCCTGCGGTTTCTCCTCAGTTTGTTTTAGCATTTGAGGAAGGAACTTAGTCACTCGGTCTGTCTTTCTCCCTCTTTCTCCATCTCTATGTTTCTATCTGTGTCTCTGTGCTCCTTGAAATGCCCGCCGGACCCTCTCACCCACAGCAAGAAATGGCTGGTTCTAAGTCTACTCTCAGCTGGACAATATGAGAGGGCTTCAAAAAGTTAGTGGAGAAATGAATGAAAAGATAATGGAATTTCTCCACAAACCTTTTGAAGGCTCTTCGTATGGGAAAGAAGTCAAGCTGTTTCATATAGTCTTGGATAAGGGAAAGGGTCACCCACCACCCCCAGTACTGAGATCCTAGGGCATCACCCCTGTTTTCCACCCAGGGGGAGGTACATCTCCTTGCAGTCCCCCTAGAGCCGCTACTGGAGAGGGGTGCTTACCGCTTGCCCCGGACAGCAGGAGGCCAGCCAGCAAGGCAGCCAGCAGCACAAGGTGCAGTCTGCAAAACATGGTGTTTGACTGAGGAGCGCCGTCTCCTGTCCACCCTCTGGGACAGGCCACCTGGGGCAAGGTTCAGCTCACACTGGCTTCCCAGAGTGACTCTGATGTCCCTCTGCTTATCACAACCTTCTGATTGGAGCACAGGGCCTCCCAGTAATGTCAACTTGGCTCCCAGCCAGTGCCGCCTCTGCCTTCCTCATCTCAGAGCCAGATAATACCAGAGGATGTTCTTACTCATGCAATTGTCCTACCAGGAACCTTGTGTGGGCTAGTAACAGAAAGCTTAGTGACTTGCAATGTTGGATTACCCAATAAGCAAGGTAAGCAGAAATTGACTTGTGCTTACAATTTCACATACTTTTATTACATCAAAGATTTTGCTTTTAGTTATAGGCTGGCATCTGCCTTTCTCCCAACTCCATAGTATCTTCCTACAGAGGCAAACTCTCTTTCCAAATTTACAATCCCTGACAGGGACAGGGTACCCGGTACACAATGTAAGCATGGGCTTACTTACTAATCTGTTGTGAACAATTTCACTTCTGTTCACTGTTGTTATTGTTAAGTGCTGTCAAGTTGTTTCAGACTCATAGCGAGCAACCTTATAGAGTTCCCAAGGAGCGGCTGGTGAGTTTGAACCTCCGACCTTGTGGGTCAAACTGATCTTACAGTACAATACTAATCCTACAGTACTACACATTAGTAAATAAGCACAAGTAAGTCTGTAATTACCTTGCTTATTGGGTAACCCCACCCCCACCCCTCCCCCGGGATGTTGAATCTATCCAGAGGCACCTTGAAAGAAAGTCCTGGTGAACAGCTTCTGAGACATTACAGCCATTGGAAACTCTAGCGAGCACAGTTCTACTCTGACACACAGGGGTCCCTCATGACTCAGAATCAATCCACAGAAAATAGTTTGTCTTTTTTTTTTTTTTTAACCCTGTGATGTGCAAAGGTATTTTTTTGTTAAAAAAAAAAAGAAGTAAAACATCATTTTATAGTCTTCAGACATATTTGCATCTCATCCTTACCTCAATGACGCAAAGTAAAGATGATTTTTTTCTAAAATAAAACACTGAGGTTTGGAGAGAGTTAAACATTAGCCTAAGATCATCTGAGGTAGACAGGGGATTTGAACACACATCTCTTCACTTCAAACTCACCGCTCTTTCCTCTGGTCTGAAATGGGCCTCACAATGGAGTCCGGGTGTAGTACTGTGGGTTAATGCACTGGACTGAAAAGTTGTGTGAACAGCAAGGTCGGAGGTTCAAGCTCACTGGCCACTCCCCGGAAACACTAAACAAGGTCGCAATGGGTCGGAACCAACTTGTTGGCACTTAACAATTGCGGCGGGTCTCAGGGAGTGTCTGCATCCACACGGCCTCCTTCCATTACACAGGGTTCTGTTACCTGTCTTTACTCTTCATCTCCCCCACCCCCACCTGGCACCAATAAAGAGAATAAACAATAGGAGCTCAGGGTCACTATGAGTCAGAACTGACTTAAAAGTCCTTAATAACAACAACAGGAGTCCCAGCCCGTGTTCTATGCACCTTTTGTAGTCACGCTTCTTCCCACACAGTGGGCTTCCCATACATACCTTGAAGGGATCTTCCTCTTTTTCACTGACCTTCCCCTTTACCAAACATGATATTTTTTCCCAGGGATTGTTTCATCCCGATCACATGTCCAAAGCACCAGAGACCACGTCTTGCCATCTTGGCTTCCGAGGAGCATTCTGGCTGTATTTCATCCATGGTATTGTCTGTATTCTTCACCAGCATCAAAATCCAAATGCACTGATGCATTCATGGTCTTTCTTATTCATTGTTTCACATGCATAAGAGGCAAGGGTTGAGTCACGAAATGCCTTAGTCCTCAAAGTGTTATCTTTGCTCTTTAACACTTGAAAGAGGTCTTTTGACTTCTCCACAGCTGCTTCCATGAGTATTGATTATGGATCTAAGCAAAATAAAATCTTTGACAACTTCAATCTTTTCTTGGTTTATCATGATGGTATTTATTGGTGTAGTTTTGAGGATTTTTGTTTTCCTTACGTTGAAGGATATATTTGTTTTTTAGAAAAACTTTTATTGTGAATTGAGTGAAGGTTTATAAAGCGGATCATCAGTTTTACATTCACCAAACCCTACACTTTGCTTCACTACAGGGTTGCAGTCCCCTCCTTGCACCAACAGTTAGCAGCGTTGACCTCTATTCACTTTAACTATGACATTCCTCTCTGTGTCTCTTGCTACCTTCATCTTTCCTCTGCGAGCCTCCCTTTTGTTATATATTGCCTGCCTTGTCACCCGGGGTTAGTGTGTGTCCACCCTCTCGCCCCTGAATGCTTTTCCCTCCCTTCCCTGTAACCATCACAGATTGTTTCTTTCATCAAGAAAACTTTTTTTTTTAAACTTTTTACAACATTGATCTCATATAATGTATGTCCTTTTGTGAATGACTAATTTCACTCAGTCTAATGTTCTCCAGGTTCATCCATGTTGTGAGGTGTTTCACAGATTAATCCTTATTCTTCAACATTTTGTAGTATTCCATTGTGTGGATGTACCAAAGTTTGTTTACCCATTCTTCTGTTGATAGGCATTTAGGCTGTCTCCATCTTTTTGATGTGTCTCTTGTAGACAGCATATTGAAGGATCCTGTTTTCTTATTCATTCTGCTCTTTATGTCTCTTGACTGGAACATATAATCCATTAATATTCAGTATAATAATTAATAGGTATGAATTGATAGTTGTCATTATTTTGTGGGTTTTTTTTGTTTTTGTTTTTTTTTTGTGTGTGTGTGTGTGTGAGAGAGATGCTGGGTTCTTTGTTCCACATAATTTACTATGCTGAGTTCATTTTGTTTGTGGGTTTTCTGGTAATTTTCCTTGCTATTGTGTTAATGTTTACTAAATCTTTCTGATTTTCCTCTTTTTTATTTTGATGGGCACGTTTATTATTTTTCTTAGCAGTTACCTTGTGATTAATTAACTTTTTCCCCTACTTAAAACCATCTGTTTTATCTTGAAATCTACTTGACTTTCTTGCTATTTGGAAAGTCTATAGCTATACTATTCCCTCTTTTTGCTTTGTAGTAAACTTCATAATAAATTGATATCTCTGGTTCACTATTTTTAGTCTTGTAGGTTTGTTTTACTTTAAATACTTCTATATCTGGACCAATAAACAACATTCTTATCAACAGAGAAAAGATTGAAGTTGTCAAGGACTTCATTCTTCTTGGATCAACTATCAACACTCATGGAATCAGCAGTCAAGAAATCAAATGACATATTGCATTAGGCAAATCTGCTGCACAAGACTTTTTTAAAGTGTTGAAGAGCAAAGATGTCAGTTTGAGGACTAAGGTGTGCCTGATCCAAGCCATGCTATTTTCAATAACCTCATATGCATGCAAAAACTGGACAGTGAATAAAGAAGACCTTATTGATGAATTGATGCTTTTGAGTTATGATGTTGGAGGATAATATTGAAAGTGCCATGGGTTGCCTAAAGAACCAACAGATCTGTCTTGGAAGAAGTGCAGCCAGAGTGCTCCTTGGATGCCAGGATGGCCAAACTTTGTCTCTCATACTTTGGACATATTGTTAGGAGGGACCAGTCGCTGTTTGGTAGGGTGGAGGGCCAGAGAAAAAGAGGAAGACCTCCAACGAGATGGATTGGCCAGGTGGCAGCATCGATGGACTCAAGCTTGGCAGCAATAGTGAGGTTGGCCTAGGATCAGGCAATGTTTATTCAGTTCTTCTGTGTATAGGGTTGCTATGGGTCAGTACCAACTCAATGGCACCTAACAACAACAACATATCTGGACTGAATTCTGGTTGGTGTTGCCATGAATGGTAATGTCAGTTTTTTGTCTGTTGTTTGGTTCTCAGTCCAAAGAACACCCTTTAACCTTTTTTGCAAAGTTGGTCTGGTCACTACAAATTCCTTGAATTTTTTTGATCAGGAAATGTCCTAATTCTGCCTTCATATTTGAAGGACAGCTTTGCTGGGTATATGATTCTTGGTTGGAAATCCTTTTGTTTCAGAGTTTTGTATCTGTGGTTCCCTTGTTTTTTTGCCTGCATGGTTTCTGCTGAGAAATCCCAGCTTAGTCTTGTTGGTTTTTCTCTGTAGACAACTTTTCTTTTTTCCTGAGCTGCTCTCAGGATTCTTTCCTTGTCTTTGATTTTGGAAAGTTTGAGTGTGATATGTCTTTAGGGATCTATCCTATTTGGGGTTCATTCTGCTTCTTGTATGCTTATCTTCTTGTCTTTCACGATGTTTTCTTCCAACAACTCTTTAACAATTTTCTCTGTGCTTGTCTCTTTATGTTCTGGAATTCTGATTACCCATAAGTTGTTCCTTTTCATGGTATCCCACATAAGTCTTAGGTTTTCTTCAGGTTTTTTCACTTTTTTTCTGATTGTTCTTCTAGCTTACTAGTATCAAAACTTATTTTCAAGTTTACTAATTCAGGCTTCCATTGCTTTGCATCTACTCCTTTGTCCCTTCAGTGTTTTGTCCATTTCTGAGATCTTACTATTAATCTTCTGGATTTCTAATTGCAGGTTTTGTATTGTTTCAAAAATTTGCATTTAGTATGTCTAGTTGTTCTTGTAATGTTTTCCTGAAATTTTCTAACATTTTTATTGTGTTCTCCGTCCTTTCCTCGATCTTTCTATCAATCCTTTGAAGGTATCGAATTATCATTCTTTTGAGGTCTTTTCCAGTTACTTCTATTTCCTTTATGCCTCAGAAACATCTTCTGGCTCTGCATCTTGGTCATTTGTTTGAGCCCTTCTGTCTTGTTTCTTCATGTTAGCTACAATTGTCTGTTGTCTCCAGGGCATTGTGAGGTTGTTGTACTTGTAAAAACAGTGTAGTTGTTGGATCTGGAAGCCTCCTGCAATTCAAGGAGTTCATGAGGTGGTTGTGGAAGGGATGTGACAGCAAAGTTCCTGGCCGTAGATAGAGGTCCTATTGACCTCAGT